TTGGGAAATTCTAAGATGGGTAGATCTAATTCCCTTTCAATCTTGGCTGCCTTCTGTGCCTTTCCTAACCAATAACAGGCTCAAAAACGTGAATGTATAGATGACATACCTTTTTGGCTAGAAGTGGTATTTCTTTTCTCCAGCATAATATTCTGTATTATTTTCTGGCGCCATCCACAGGTTTTCTCCTGCAAACCTGTCAACCTTCTAGTTATTGTCACTTTTTGCAGTATCTCTCTACCTTTTCCATTTTTGTCTTTTTAGCCAACGAAAGCACATTTTCTGGTTAAACAACTTCCGTAACCTTCATTCTTTTGACTGTGTTAATGCTACTTCTCAGAGACTGTTTTGGTAGCTTCAGGGTTCAGAGTCCTAACAGTTTTCTATAATTATCTAATAGTTTGTGAGCATCTATCATCCATGATAGTCCTTTATCACCTGGGGAAACAAGTCCTTCAATGTGTTGCATCATTAAAGTGGGGAAGCAGCAGACATGACACCAAAAGCACAGACAACAAAAATAAAAATAAACAAGTGAGAGTACATCACACTAAAAAACTCTGCATAGCAAAGGAAACAAACATTGAAAAGCAACCTATGGAATTGGAGAAAATATACGTAACATGGGATTAACCTCCAAAATATATAAGAAACTCCTATTAACAGTAAAAAAACAAAACCAAACCAACACAAAAAATTAACAACCTGATGAAAAAAATGGGCTAAGGACTTGAACAGCCATTTCTCTAAAGAGGACTACAGATGGCAAACAAATATATAACAAAATGCTCAACGTCACTAATCATCAGGTAAATGCAAATCAAAACCACAGTGAGATATCACTTTATGCCTGTCATGTTGGCTATTATCAAAAAACAAGACAATAAAATATTGGCAAGGATGTAGAGAAACTGGAACCCTTGCACACCGTTGGTGGGAATGCAAAATGGTGCAGCCACTGTGGAAAACAGTATAGAGGTTTCTCAAGAAATTAAAAATAGAAGTACCATATGACCCAGCAATTCCACTTGTGGGTATTTATTCAAAAGAACTGAAATCAGAACCTTGACATTAGCACTTCCATCTTCATTGCAGCACTATTCACAAAAGCCAAGATGTTGAAACAACCTAAATGTCCAACAGAAGAATGGATAAAGAAAACATGGTCTATACATACACTGGAATACTATTCAACCTTAAAGGAGGAGGAAAATTCTGCAACATGCGACAACATGGATGAACCTTGAGGACATTACGCTAAGTGAAATAAGCCAGTCACAGAAAGGCAAAAACTGCATGAATCCTCTTATGTAAAGTACTAGCATTACTTCCTGGATGTGAATTTCTCTCATTGCAGGACCAGAAGGGATTATGAGTTTCTGCAGCAGCGGATCTGTTGCTACTTTTTATGCAGTTGCACAGATCTTGAAACTGATCTTGTACCCCTTATTGAATAACCTACTAAACGTCTTTACATGAAATTGATTTGACTCATCTTTAGCAAGTATACAGGCCTTCATTAAATCCATTTGCCTGCTCATGCCACTTCTGGTACTATCTTGTTTTAATACCAAACTTTTTCTTCTCTTTTTCTGTTGTTCTTTCAAAAATTTTTAATGGTTTTTAATCTTAACTATAATTTTTGTAAGCCACCCAAAATCTTTTTTGAAAAATTATGATAGACTTCAAATTTCACTCAAAAAAGGGGGAGAAGGGCCAGCTGAGTGGCGCATTGGTTAAGAGCTGGCTTGGGACGCCAGAGGGCCCCGGTTCGGATCCCACATATGAGGTCCAGTGACACTGCTCTCTACAGCTAAGATGCTGAACAGCTCAACCTGGAGCTGGGCTGCCAGGAGTCTCCGGCAACGGCATAGGCTGCAGCCCCTGCTGAAGTGGGCTGCCATTGGCTACTGTGTGTAGCCAGCAGCCAGTGTGAGCGGCTGTCCAGAAGCCGGGGACTGATCTGCCTCGCCTGGGAAGAGCGCAATGATGGTGCCAACTTGGGCCAGTGAAGCAACGTCCTCCACAACTAGACTGAAGAATAAAACGACAGCAACTTGTCTGTTCCCCTTCCCCCAATTCCCCAGCGCTGTTCCCATCCCCCAATTCCCCAATAAAAATCTTTAAAAAAAAAAAAAAAAGGGGGAGAAGAGTCAGGAAAATGTGGTGGTTGTATATACAGGTATACAGCAAGGTTTCTAAGGTTCAAATTCTGACCCCTCTAGTTATGTGCCATGTGAACTTTGGGCAAGTTACCAGATATTGCTACATCTGATTTCTACTGTAAAATGGAAACAATAGTTCCAATCTCACAGAGTTGTTCTGCGCCTTAAATAATACCAGTAATATACTTAGAATGGTGCATTTAGAACAGTGTTTGTTTGACACATAGCAAAATGTTAGCTGTAAGGAATTATTTTATGCTGTGGTTTAACATTAACATATATAGCTGGGTTTACAATCTAATGTCAACTTAAACCAGCATCCCCATCATATCATCTAACAGAAAGTTTGGACATGATACTTGACAATGATTACTAGGAAAATTCTTTTGATCTTATTTACTCAGTTTTCTTATTTACTCTATACAGAAATATATTGGTTTGCGAGCACAATTCGTTCCGGAAACAAACTACTCGTATTACAAGACATCGCTCGTTTACATTAAAATGTATTAGAAATATTTGTCTTGCAGAACACTCGCAAACCAAGTTACTCACAATCCAAGGTTTTACTGTATTAATCAAATACAGGCATATTTCCTTTAGGGGAACTGGATATTAAAATCTGGATTTAATATTAAGATTCAACAAAACTGAGGACTTTACAAAAAATGGAAAGAGCTAAGGGAAAAGGTATATATGAGCAAGAAGGGAGAAAAACTGTATCAGAACATGTTGGCTAAAGTAAGTTACTGCAGTTGAAAACAGAACTTCATTTCCTGAGAGGGCAGCCAAAACAGAGAGAAACATGAGAGGTATCCCAACTCTCCATTTCAATGAAAGGAAATTCGCCATTTATCAGGAGGAATATTTTTTTGTTTCTAAGCTAGCATAGCATATATGGAGAACACTGATCATAATTGTTAAGAAATTTGATAGTTTAAAAAAAAAAAAAGGTGGAGACAGTTTACCCTTGGCAAACATCTTGTTTAAAAGGAGCCTTAATCTAATGTCCAGGACTAAGTTCCTGATTCCACAATCAGTGCACCCTCCCCGCAAACCATTCTTCTCATCATCTTCTCTTCAATAAATGGCAATTCTATCCTTCAAGTTGCTTAGGCTAATTGACCTGAATCATCCATCCTTGACTCTTCTTCTTTCATGCCCATATGTGATCTGCCAGCAAATATTGTCAGCTCTGCCTTAAAAACATATCCAGATTCAAATCACTCTTCAAACCAGCTCCACTACCACCACTTTGATCCAAGTCACCGTCATTTCTCTCCAGGATAACTGCAATGGTCTCCAAACTGGTCTCCCTGCTCCCACTTCAGTTTATTCGGATCCTTTTAAAATATAAGCCAGATCATACCACTTCCCTGCTCAAAATCCTATAGACCCCATCTCACTCAGAATAAAAGCTGAAAATCTCACAGGGCCCTCCAAGATCTAGTTTCAACCCCAATCCCCACATACCCTGTCGCTTTACCTACTACTCTTCCCCTTTTTGTACCATAAAAATACTGCAGAAACATGCTTCTACTTCAGGACCCTGACAACTGCTGTGCCCTCTGCCTAAATGTTCTTCTCCTGCTTCAGCCACCTGCTTCTGCTCCTTCCGATCTTTACTCAGATATCACCTTTCCAGTGAGGCTTTCACTCGCCCTCTGATTTGATATTGCAAACAGTACACACACATTTTGTATCTCCCTTTCCTCCTCTATTTGTCCCTTCAAAACTGCTCACTATCATGTGGCATCTTCTATTTTTCTTACTCATCTTTCCCACTAGAATACAAACCTCATGAAGGGAGGGAATTTTTTTTTTCTGCTACATCACCCAATGTTTAGAACAGGGCTTGATGCCTAGTGGATATTCAAATATCTGTTGTAAAAATGCGTGGATAAAATTTAAGGGCATGGCCTTCAAGTATACTTATAGAAGAGTAATTCTGAAAGTGGGAGATAGAATAATATAGTTCAGTTATGTAGTATTTTAGTGATCCCGTTTGCTACAGGGTTAATGCTTAGGACATAAACACAAAAGAATGGATCACAGATCTGTTAGCCAGTGGTCTCTAAAGCAGGGTAGCACAAGATGATCCATTGGGATGAGGGGCCAAAGTATTAGAATTATATTTGTCTTATAAATTTGAAAAAATAATGGATGAATTTTCATAGTGCCTTTACTCAGTTCGCTTGTCAGAAGGTCACGCATCACACATGGTTCCTGAGGTATTCAGAGAGAAGAGTGGAGTGACAATATTTATGTTAGATGTAATTATATATTTATATTATTATTTCCTATTCTGTTTTACATGTATTAGATTTTTACATGATTGAAATAAGCAATTACAGGTTCAAGAAGATAACCTGGTAAAAGACTCCTCCTTCTGGATATTTACTGTCTTGTTTCGTGACCCTAACATTTTAGATGAAGGGAAATTTAATTCCCTGTACAAATTAAGGAACATTTAGATATTAAAATCACTCTGATAGAAAAGTGAAGCCATAAAGAATATCTTTCTTGAGAGTGCATTTAGGAGACCTAAATACAACTAAATAAAGTGTTCCATTAGGCACTGGCAAAATGACAGAACAAATATTCAAAATGTTTGAACAGAAAAATACCGGACTACTGACTTAAATTACCTGAGTTTTCAAAACATGAATTTGATAGAAAATGAAGCAGATTTTCCCCAGTTGGTAGGAGGAAATTTGGACACTTTGGGAAGAACATGAGTCTTTTATGGTCACAGAGGTACTATTTAAATAGTATAGTATGCAACTTGCAAAGAGCAGACTCTCTAGCAGAACTTAACTTAGAAAAGGGCCTCAATTATTCAACCACTAAAGTTGGTTTATTAATAAGTAAGAGATGCTTTCCTAAGAGAACCAGAGATTTAAAGTCCTACCCTAAATGCAAACTCCTCATCTATCTCAAGTGAATATTTCTGAAGTGTGGGGTAGATTTGTCTACAAATCTACATCACTTCTGGTTTCCTGTTCTCAGTTATGCAAAAATGAACTCACAGACACAAATTGAAATACATATTTTGAAAAGTATTTACTTAGTTTGAATAAATTAATTGCAAATAAAAATTAGCTACAATATATAGACTGAATAGAAATGACTAGAACAAATACAACACAGGACTTGATTTCCTTGCATTAGTCACAGAGCATGTGACAATCTAGAAAACTTCAAAATTAATTATATTTCTTTGAAAAGGGGGTAACAGCAGTTACTGATACATCACAACTAGTAAACTTATAATACAAGTTTCCTGACATGCATTTCCTGAGTGAACCCAAATAATCATTTTTAAAAAGAAAGAAATTTTGACAAGTTGAAGTAAAATAAAATAGCTCATGGCTTCTAAGCAACAGGTTTTGTTTTTTTTTAAAAAAAAATCCAAAAGAAAATTCAGAACATTGTTGTAATAGGATAAATTAAAGCTATGCTACCACATACAAAATTTTGCTAGTCAATTAAGTATTATACAACTTTTCAAACTAAAGGAAAACAAATCAAAAGATTAAAATAATGATTTTTTCTAATCTAAAAGTGTACTGATTTCTACAAGTGCCACAGAGTGTCTGATGTAGTGCAACTGTCTATACTTTCATTGTGGTGCATTAAAAAAAAAAATGGGGGCAGGAGGAGGAGGAGGAGAAACTTTTTCTTGCTTCTGAGAGCAAAAGAATTTATTGGAATTAGGGAATAAACAGACCATGCAATTCTGTCCCTCCACTCTGCTGTCAATGGTGCTCATCTGCCAACAAACATGTCCTTGAGTCACACTGGCAACTTTCCTTAAGATTCAATCTCGAAGTTAAGGCTGGTCTGCTAGGTTAAAAAAAAAAAGGGGGGGGGGCGGGCACTACTGTCATTTGACCCTTTGTATCTCTCTAATGTCTAGATAAGGCCAAATATGGAATAATTAATTAAGCATTTCTTTTTCTAAAAGCAAATCAAGTCATTCTCTTTTCTTGTTAATTTATGCTTTTTCTCATGGGAATGATTTTTTTTTTTCTAGAAACAGTGAACAGATGAACCACAGTTTATATCCAAAAAAATAAACTTGCCAAATGTCGCTGATACTAAAAACAGATTAGTTATCATGGGAGAAAAATAGATAATCTAGATTAAATTGCATATTCAAAGGAGCATATAAAACGTTTCTTAGCATTAAATTTTTGTTATAGTACTACACTTGAGAGAAACATTAAGGAAAAAAACCTTTCCTGATTATCTTCAATGTGGTTAAAAACAAACACCTTTTACACAATGGTAATTAATATGAATTTGGTTTTACAAAGTATTTTAATTTACCAAATTCCACATTTAGATGTGGATGGGGAGGGGGGCTCTCTTGTCCTTCTTCATAACTTTGCAAATCCGTGAGCTATGCTTGCTAAACTACCATTCACACCAAGAGTGTGACACCATCGTTACCATGCTACTCTATCAGGAACATTCTAAGGTATTTCCTATAATAAAGATAAATAGAAAAAAAATTAATATACATGTTGCTGTATTTTACAATGTTTGCAACAAACTGTAAACTAACATAGTTTGAACCAACAATACCCTCAGTTATATAAAACAATTTTTCAACACTGAGGATGGGTGATTCAAAAACACTAAAATGAAGGCATCAGATTAGGCTGTCTTTTTCTCCTCAAAATAGATTTTAAAAACTCAGAATTCAGAAGTCTGATACTTTCAGAAATTCCTTTGCTTGAGTTTCCCAGATTTTGCTCAAAAATTGTTACTATTTATTATAAACGTTTTAAAAAATTCTTCCATCTTAACAAATGACCAGATCAGAGAAACCGTGATGTGGACAACAGGTTGAAAAATCCAACTCACTTAGCTTATAAATTTATAATGCAGTCCTGGAGGACAACTGTCTGTTAGTCTAGAGGTCCTTGGAAAATAAGTCTGATGTAGCCTTGTTCACCAGCCAACTGATGTGCACAAAAGGGACAGGCTGCATGAAAAGTATGAGTACCATGAGGAAGTGGGATCTGGGACCAATAGGCAGTCGTCTTTTCTGAACACACATGCCCACATGGGCTAAACGCATGAGTTGGAGGCCCGGCGTCCACATAAAATCCAGCTTCACATCCAAGCCACAAAGGGACATAGGGACCAACAGACCTACACATAGGACATTCACGATCTTTTCCATCACGTTCTTCTTTGTTTCCCCAGTTATGATAGCCATGCACGTGGCCGCAGTTTAGATATACCCATGGTTGTTTCTCATCGACAACATCTTTCCTCTTCATACTAGGAAATGCAAGTGTGTTGAACCCTACAGGGCACTGAGGTCGCGCTGCATTGATTTCCTGTCTTAAAGCTTCTAAATGCTTCACTGTAGGAGTGTGGGAAAGGCCTTCTGCAGTACGCCACAGCAATGTCGCACCACAGAGGTCAATTAATGAGCCATCTTGTAACTGATTGGTTTCAATTTCCACCTGGAGGAAACAAGAATCAAAAAACACATTCACCACTGTGTTTTGGATTTTTACATAACAGTTCTGGTCTTACATTCTCCTTAGTCAAGAACTGTGATTTCCTGTAATTGTTACTAAATATTTAAGAAACTCTAATGGCAGTCATGAAAAATATGTTTGAACATGAAGGATAAAATATTTAGCAGTAACATTTCTTTTCACCTTACAGTAAAGATAATTTATGACTGAAATATCTAGCTAATCAGTAAGTCTAATATTTCCAATAAATATCACAGCCAAAGACATACAGATATAAGCAGAAAATACAGAGTGCTGTTTAATTTAGAAAAGCTTAGGTTTTAAAATATATTAACATAATATGAAAGAATAAATTTTTGTAGTGTCCTAGTTGAAACATTAAGATATTATCCTCTATTATAGTATTTACTGGGTCGTCGGGAAAGTCATGATGCATTTTTGCATTGAAAAACATAGAAAAATACGTCATGACTTTCCCGATGACCCAATAGTAGTCAGTGTTTGATAGGCTTAGTACTCTGTGTCAGCAAGAGACTTAAGAGTTTTGGGGAATAGGTAAAGCATTCAGTCCAACTCATCCTATGTGTTTACTGTAACTATTGGGTTGTTGGAAAAGTCATGACGCATTTTTGCAACAAAAAACATAAAAAAAATACATCATGACTTTTCTGACAACCCAATAAATAAGCTATATTTCAGTTCTTACCATTTTTCCTCTCTGCTGAGCTGATCTGGTTTCACGCAGGCTGAATACATTTCCACACACTGATATTTCTCTCCATATTCCCGGCTTGGAGTCTTCTGTGAACCCATTACGTGGATGCATAACAAGAACGCCATTAGTGGTTAAGCCATCCATCTGCCCATCTGATGTTTTCCATTTGGCAGCCTTCTCCTAGTAGGAATAAGAAGAGTGAGCTTCCATTAATTTGTAATTTGGAAATAGAAGTCATTATAAAATAATGCATCATTTAGGAAAAAAGCTTTTTACCCCAAGGAAGATGTTTTTTGATGAGTCAAATCCTGCAGCATAAATCCGTGCTGTAAAGGGGGGATTCCGTTCACATATGATTCTACAGGCAAATCTTGATATAGTGCTTTGCACTGACTGCGTATCAGAATTACTTTGACTTCCAGGAACTGTGTCAGTTACTACAAAATCAATGGGACTTTCAGTAGACCGACCAATCTAAGGAGAAAAGAAATATCTATAAACCCATTCAAAGGAACACAGTGGAAAGTCCATTCAAGAAATGCACAATAAGGTGAAATCATTAAGCCTCTGAAATTTCTAAAGCTCAAACTTATCATACTTAACTCTGGGGGCATCTATACCCTTGAAAACTAATCTGTCAGACTTGCTCTGATATAATAATCACTTAGAGCGTAGAATTAAGTGGGAACTTACGACCCAGAATATATGAAACCCTCAGGGAATAAAGAGTTTAACATGGCTGAGATTTCTAGATGGCTGCAGATTTTAATTTTAACCCCTTTGGATGGAAATATGTCTACCATGTGTAACTCGACCTTCTTCAACAGAATATAGTTAACATATAAGTAAATCTTTTATGATGACTCCAGGATATCACAGTATGACTACCATTTATATTCAGCTGAAGTACAGTAATGTCTCCAGGTGCTATAAAGGCATACAAGAACACTGATCCTTATGTTAAGGACATAGCCTTGCTTTGAGGCCTTATGTATACTTCATAGGTTTTCTTTCTTGCTGTTGGTTGTACTTGTCTCTAGCAGCATACCCCTCCACTAACCAGCTATCTTATTCTGCTATGGGTTGAGAAATCAAATAACCAAACTTCAAAGAATAATATTTCAAAAGGTTCTTGGCAAAAACCTAAGGGATTCTCCAGGCAGGAGAGAAAAGGAATTATAGTGCTTGGCTTCTCAGACCTTTATTTTATATGCTTATATGTCCTTTTTATTTTCTTCCTGGTTTTTGGCCATATTTCAGAGACAAGGTTCTTTCCCAATAAGAATTCTGGTGGGTGAAGTGTCAGAGAATTAAAAACATCTAGCTAGTAAATAAATGAATTTCATTTTGAAAGATGAAAATTGTAACAAAAAAAGGAAATCAGCAGAATGGATGACAGAACTGACAAATGTCACAGGGTTTTAAACACTTAAAAATGATCAGTTCATTAATGTATTTGTTATAAAGTAATATCATAAAACTGAAGAACATGGGACTGAGAAAAAATACTGACCCTCTACAAAGATGACGGCTCTTAAAAGTCATTCCTTGCATAGTTGAGCCTCAAGTATTCCTCTTATCAGCACACTTTTGAATAAAACTCTTTAGTGTTTTTTGTCCTATCACCACATACAAAGTCTTCATTTAGTTTGGATAGTTATAGGAGAAATTGGCTGGTTAAAAAATATAAGATTGGATATCCCTGTTCCTTATTTTAATGATAATGATATCCAACGAAAATGGAAATAGTGCCAGACCTTTGAAACTAAAAATATTTCCAAAAATAAGAAGGTTCTTTTAGAGCCAAAAGATGTAGTCCAGGGATTGGATTGAAAATTGAATCAAGATATTGAGAAGCAGAACTTATTTGGGAAGAGAGATTGTTCCAGAAGAGTTGATATTTGATCTGGGCCTTAGAGAAGATTTGAGACATCAAAGCCATATTGGTAATGATAGGGAAGAAGGAAGAAATCTTACGTATGTACAAAAAGAAAATACCCATATGACTGTGTAATCAGATGCCAAAATATAATCATGTGTTAAGACAAACTTTGGTAATTCCTCCTCTTTCTAATTGCTCTTATTAGCTTTAAAAAATATAAATCTTACTGTGTCATTCTCAGTAATGACTATGCCACCCTCATTAAAAACCTTAGTGGCTCCTTACAACCCATCCAAACTTATCAGTGTCTAATTTCTGATAATAATTAGAAACTGACTTCACAATTTGCCTTCCATCTACCAATCAGCCTAATTTTCTGTTATTTCTCTTCAAACACAAAGTATAGTCTGGCTATAAGCAGATTTTTCATCAATCTTCTACCATACTGTATACTTTGCCATCTATGTTGTCAGAATGCCTTTACTGGTTGGACTGGCAAAATCCTATTCAACTTGATGAAAAAAAGGTTCAGATAAAAAGTGACTATTATAATTATAGTCTTTTCCTCACCCTTCTTCAACCCAATCAGAAGACTGTACTTCACATTTAAACAGACCGCCAGTGTAGCACCTATGTATGTAATCAGCTTGTAATGTCTTTTACTTCATAGTGCCAAACAATGCTAAGAGTTAGAGTTTGAATATCTGATGGCTTGAACAATAAATGTTCAGTTTAGAAGGTTAGCAATCCTAGGATGCTTATAGAACCAGTACCTCAAAGACTGACTGGCTATTTTATCAGAGTAGTTTCTGATATATCTCAGGTTTTTGATGTAGAAATATTTGGGTTTTCCACGGTATGATGCTTGTAGAAAGGGTACGATTAGCTTACTATTATTGGGAAAAACCATCTGTTTCTTTACGAAAAATAGAAAACCAAAAATGTTGCCATTTATTTAAGGACCTTCATAAATGATGGTGAAGACAATGTTCCATAATTCAGGATGCCTCATTTAATCACAATTTTGCCTTCAACTAACTTTATAATTTTTAACTCACAAGGTTTCAGTAACTTTATAGACAAAATATAAGGGGTAAACAAATAATACAAGGTACTTTCTGAAACTAAAATTCTAGTCTGTGATCAAATATCTAGGCAGCATTTTGATTTTTAAAAAGCTAATTAATTAAGTACATTCATTTTAACTGGTTGTCAGCAAAACAAAATGTGGAAAATCATCCTAAAGCTTCTGTTAGGTTCTTGTTAAGATCCAAACCTTCATCTTCATTAAGGATGTTATTTATTTTTAATTTTTTGTAAAAGCAACATCCATTCTTAATATTAACTATGGAGACACTATTCTAAAAATTTTGGTATTCCATTAAAAGGCTGGGAGGAGTGAGTGACATCAAAGAAATAGTTTGCTATTGGTTATAGTTAAAGACATCTCTAGGCCTTTTCACATTCATTTAATTTTGTAAAATAAAGAAAAATTGAAAAGTCATTGGGGCAATAATTATAAGAGCAACATTATCAGGTACTTAAGATTTGTTTCAAAACAGCCCAGGGCTTTACAAAACCCAGTATTAAAAGAGAAGATATCATGAATTTTGTTTACATCTGAGGCTGGCTGTTTTTTCATCTATCAGTTTATAAAAACATCAGCACTGAATTGCTATGAGAGAATGAGAAAAGAAAAACACTTTATTGACAAAATATGTGCTGGGAAATAAGTTTGACTTCACATATATATGGTAGGAACAGTTAGAAACTGCCTGTAGTTTTTCTTACCTACAGAGGAAGGTGGGAAGTAGTGGCAAAAAGTCATGAATGTGTGTAGAATATTTCTTAGTTCCTTTTTTTTTTATAATAATAGCTAACAGAGCTATTATTATAGCTACTATTATAATAGCTAAATGTTTACCAGCTACCTAGCACAGCTCTGAGTACTTTACATGTACTAATACATTAAAGCCTTTTAATAGTCATACAAGGGAAATTTTATTATCCATACTTTACAGGAGGAAACCGAGGCACTGAGTGGCTACATAATGTTTACCAGGAATTCTGATTTCAGAGACCATTTCTTAACTTTGCTACACTAACTTCTATATATGGGGTTTAGAAATCAATACATATTTTAATGAAATACGTTAAAATATGATAATCCTTAATCTGACCACAGCAAAAGTCACTGACAACAGGTTTTAACTCTTGTTTGTATAAAAATGAATTCACATATTATCATACCTGAAACATATCAGTGTTGCTGTCATGAGTATACTCAACCACCACTGTCTGGGCCCGAGATAAGGTATATGATATGCTATGCTGGTCCTTGTTACTTATTGCCTAAGAAAGAAAAGATTAATAGCAAAAATTAGCCAGCAGGTCAATTAAATCAGATTTACAAAAGAAAAGTAATCTATCACATATATGACATATTTCCCCCTAAAATTTAGGTTAGAGATTAATAATTTTCATAATTTCACCTGGGACAGTAGTTTCTCAGGTTGAGTGGGGTGTAGAAGAACACTTTGAAGTAGTTACAGAGTAAGAACATAATCTAAAATACTTATAAGGGAGACTCAGATGTTATAGTATTTTTATACACTATAACATCTGAGTGAGTCTCCCTTATAAGTATTTTAAATTATAAAGTAATAAAAACCAAATCCCATGTAGAAACTGAAAATAGTACTCAGTACAGCTGAATAGACAAAATACAAAATCTTGCAGGAAGAATCTTATTTTTAAAGTAACTCAAAGAGTTATAAAGTTAACCAACAAGCAGAGTTAACTGGTTTTCCTAAACATTCTGTGACTCTATAGATGACAGATATTTGCCATATGCCGGGCTAGATACAGAAAATTCATAGAATGATTAAACATTACCAAAGGAAACGGATATAATGCTTACGACTGTACTTCTGACATCCCAAACTAAAAACATTGCTAAAAAGAACTTTTCAGTTTTGTTTTCAGGCGTTTTCTATGTATATGAGTTGAAGATAATATCAGAGAGGGGGAAAACCCAAACAAAGGAAGTGGAAACAGGCTACGTAAAAGGAAAACAGACACAAAGACATAGAAGAATGATTATACACAGAGGCTAAATGAAAAAAAGGTTTCTTAATTAGAGCTTTGGCATTATAAAATTTTACTTGGTTTCAATTTGTAGCTAATTTGAAATAGATAAAGCTTTAAAATAATAGTTTTAAGATTAAATAAGATCATGAATTTTTCACATACTATACAAAGAGAATAAACAACCTGGGTACAAACTATCCAGCTTTATCAAAGTTTCATAATGCCATTTTTTGCTTCCGATTTCTTTAAAAAAATTAAACTCTACAGATACAATTGAGGCTGCTTACATGTCCCTCCCTAGTCCCCTTTCTTCATAGAGGTATCCAACTTCAAGAATGCAGCGTAGATCATTCTTTTGTATGTTGTTATTTTTTACTACACATTTATGTGTTCATAAGCATTATATAATTGTTTTATAGGTTTTAAAACCTACAATTACTTTAACTCAGTATTAAGCAACTGACTTTTTAATCAAATAATTGCTCAGTATTTTGGAAGTTAATTCTTAATGACTAAAGAGATTTAAAACACAGGTTTTTGTGTGCTTTGACATTGTAATCCCTGTTTTATGCTATTAAACCTACACTTAGATTGAGAATAAGAACTGTGTCAAGTTAGTTCTCACTGTACTGGAAGGCAAGGTTTAACCATTCATCCCAGATGACTGCCAGACTAAACAGTTTTCTTCATGATCTTGTACTACATTCCCCCATAATTGAAAGAGCAAAGAGTCAATCTTTGATCCCTCCGTTTCTCACTGTCCAGTAAAGATTAAAAGGGACTAACAATGAAAACATTAGGAGTATAACAGTAAAAATGCAAATAATAGAATACAATAGGATATTACAGAGGTAGAGATTAGAAATATTTTCTCAATAATGATTCTCAACCAGAGGTTATATTAGCTGTGTAAGGGGCATTTAGTAATATGTAGGTGCCTTTTTTTGGCTGTCACAACAATTTGAGAGTTAAATGGCATTTAGTGGGTGGGGACCAAGAATATTAAATGTCCTGCAATATGTGGGACAGTCCTGCACAAAGAAGTACACACCCAAAGAGTACTGCACACCTAAAATGCCAAAGCACTTCTGTGGGGAAATTGTGGAAAGAAGATCCTCAGATTAGATCAATAAGTGGTTCACTTCTACCAACTGCTTAACACTTCCCTTCTCTGCAAAGGAGCAAAAAAAAAAGCACCCAAAAGAAACTCTCCATTTTCTACATTCACTGGCCGTCACACAGTAGTAAGGACTGTTTTAGACACCACATTGGATATAAAACAAAGCCACAAATCCAATTAACTTCAAGGACTGGAGCTGTGACCTAAAACAAGGCATCATATCCCAATTTCTCTGTCTCTTGTTTATTTATTTAACTTACAAAGATACAGATAGTATAATACTAATGTACATTCTGGGGCTGCTTAGCTAAAAATGTAGGTACTTCCAGAAGTCAAGGAACTTTCTTTAAATTGTATTCACTCATCACAGTATTAAATTCAGCCTGTATGCAATTGGAAGTAGAGGAATTCACAGGAAATGTGAAGATCTGAAATTTCCCCTAATTGTCTATCACTCTAGGAAATAAAGTCCAAGTGCCCTGAAATGGTGGCCCAGGTTCTGAAGATTTTGATAGGAAAAGAAAAGCATTAACTAGGCAAGGAGATCAAGAAGTTATACTGTAGATACAGTTGGGTATTTGTTTTCATAGTTTTGATTCAATTTAATAATTAGTGGAGTCTATTTTGTTTAAGGCACTAGGCTAAAAGCTGAGGGTCGAAACCAAAAATAAATAAATAAATAAAACCAAGAGCATCCACAGAATCTTTGATAAAGACCCTTAGTTAAAAAAATTACCTCATCCAAACATGCTTCTAGTACCTGAATACACTTCTTATACATTATATTCCTAGCCCAGCCTAGGTGAGGGCCCTCTTGTAACAGTGGGAACGCCCTGCCTCTCAGGGCAAACAGGTGCACAATTCTAATACTACTGGGTTGTCAGAAAAGTCATGATGTATTTTTTCTATGTTTTTCGTTGCAAAAATGCGTCATGACTTTTCCGACAACCTAATAAAGACCCGGCCTCACCGCCACCTTCTTAATAAGAAAAAGGAATGTTTCCTTCTAATTTCTACCCACTGATCTTGGTTTGTCATTAAGAAAGAAAGAAAAAAAAAAGGTCCTATGCCCTTCCATATGGCAGCTCTTCAAACATCATGTCTCCAAAGTGTCTTCTCCTAACCAAACAAAAGAAAACTTCTGGTATACAATGGGAAGGGAATGCTAAAGACTACAAACATGCACAAGTCTTTCAATTTCTCCAAGTTAATTTACAGATGTTTTTTTCTTTTTACCTTTGCAGCCTGAGGAGTACAAGCAATATGCACAGTGCTGGGCTTCACCCCATTTGCCTTGGGTCTTTTAAACAAAGCAAACCTACTTTTCCTCCTTCCTCTATCGCCGTTTGGGAGAGACCCATTATATCTGTTGGGGGAAAAAAACAGTTTAGGCGATATATTGTAAGAACCACACAATTCTAACAAATGTTTTACTTTGCCTTACAGGATCAATTCCCAATTAATTATCTATCAGCACACTATAAGTATCTCAAATTCATTTTAGCAATTGCTGATCCCCAGTTGCCCAAGTATGAAACAAAATGAAATTCTTTCTGGCCACATTCCAAGTCAAAGAGAAGTAGCTTTTGGATTATACATACAAATGTAGATTTTGGATCCACGTTTTTGTCATGCTTTTTTTCATTCTTTACTTTGAGTTATCTGTATTTTTCTTCCCTCTTTTGCTCAAGATAATCAAGAGCTGAATTAGGTGGCATACCTAATTCCTTATGACTCATCCTATTTTTTCCCAAAGGTGAATCTTTGCATGTGCTAATCTAACCTTTAAAAGTACAGTATGAATTGTTTAAAATACAATCCCTTTTAATTGTGAACCAAACACTTAAAATAGCTGAACTTTTGAAATAAGGAATTTTTAGACTTGTTTGTTTGTTAAGTCTGTTACTTGAATGTACACATACACATTCACATTATGTTGGTAAAACCTGTCCAACTGAGGTGCCTGCTAAGCAGCAGTTAAACACACTTTTCAGATGTTACGACCATTTCTCTATAACGTACGTGTGTGTGTCTGTGTGTCTGTGTGTGTGTGTGTGTGTGTGTGTGTGTGTGTCCTGAAAGTAAGCCAGTAAACAAGGACTGAATAGGAAAAAAGTTCAAAACAGAACTTTTGGGTGTTTACTATGTAGTAGGCACTTGGGTTCTATCTCATACATCACCTCACTTAATCCAGCCTCATAAAAACTCTGCACGATTGGCATTACTCTCTGCTTTTAAAGGTTAGGAATTAAATGATTCCTCAGAGGAATGAAATTCCTCAGAGACTCAGGAATTCAGTTATTTTCTGAAGGTCACACAAGTGACACTGGAAAAGCTAGAATTTGGGTCCAAGTGTTTGTCATGTTTTTCATTCTTTACTACTTCATTATGGCATGAGGAGTAGCTTAATAATAATCTCTCTTAATTTACTGTCTCCCCATCCCCCAATCATTGGTAAGTGGAGGGGAAGGGGGAAGGGGAGGATGAGGCAGGGAACAGGGACAGTTTTTGAGGTTAAAGGAGAGTGTGATTATAAAATGGCCAGTGTTAATGGCTGCCAAGGAAGAGAAGGGAGTTGACTCAAACAATGCCATCTATAGAAATTACACTGACCCTTTATAGCAAGATAAAATGAGCTGAGGAAAATTTTGGTAAAAGAAGGGATAGGGAAGACAAATGGAATGATTATGTGACTTCAGACAAATACATTTTTCATTTCCTCTTTAAGAAGCTCTGTCCTTTCTGGGGGTGAAGATGAGGCAAAGTTTATGCAATATTTGAGAATTTATAAGCAATGGCATAAAAATAAGAACTGAAAGATTTTCTTGATTTGATAATATTACCTGGTAGCTTTAAATCCTTTCTAGAAACAGGTAGGATATAAATTTTTTAAAAAGTACTTTTAACCTAGATGCAAAGTTACTATGTATTATTCAGTTTTATGTCATCAGGTGGAGAGAAACCTTACCCTAAGACAATGAGTTCACCATATTTTACTGGTGCTTTGGATGGATGATTTTCTTGATCAGGAGAAAACATGAGCTTAGCTGTCTTTCTCAAATCTTTGTTCACTGGTCAGGAGCCTTGGGACACCTTTTGCATTATTTCCTAGAGGAGAAAAGTTTGCATTAATAATGTGAACAATTAATTTCAGTTTAAATAAAGATGTTATTGTCAACAGTCCTCGTGAGCATAGAATTATGCAAATTATCACATAACATACAAAGTACGCAACATTTTCCCCAATGATGGTTAATTACATATTTGATATAACTAAATAGATTAAAATATAAATTTGGGGACTTCCACTTCCAGGAAGATGGAATAGACATATTTTTTCCCTATTATTTCCAATAAGTACAACTAAAAACCCTGAACATTTAAAACATAAGAAGATTCTGAAAAGTAGAGAGAAGGCAGACCAGCTAGAGACCTCAGGGCCCAAAGAATGACACAGTGGTGAGTTTCTTTTCTACCTAATATATCCCAGATTTGGAGCTGAAGAATTGAAGAATTCAGTCACCTGGAAATGCCAACTGGCAGAGATGATGATGATGATGATGATAATAATAATAATAGCCCTAACAAAAGCTTGGTCTCTCTAGTCAAAGGAACAAGAAAGGAGCAGCCTTAGCAAGACAGAAAACTCTTGACAATAACCACTCTACTATAGCCAAACACCACAGAAAATACTGTGGCTTCACCTCCACCTACTGCAGCAAGGGCCAAGTGGGGAGCCTAGACTTCCACCTCATGAGGCCATACTGAGAAGGCCCAACCTCCCAACCAGGCTGGTGTCAGGACAGGCCAAGTAGGGAGCAAGGACTTCCACTCCGCTGGCTGGTAACATGCCCCTATCTCTACCTTAGCAGTGTCAGTGGAGACCCATGGGGAGCCTGGACTTCCACCCTTACCTGGCAGCAACTACGATCTCCTTCTCTTGGGTGTTAGTGGAGGCTGAGTAGGGAACCTGGACTTTTATGTCCACCTGGCAGTAAAAAGGAAGCACCCCTCTATTACCTTGCCAAAGTGTGTCAGGAAAAGTCAGTGGAAACAGAAGGTTTAGATAATATCCAGAGTCTCAGAACATAAAATGAAAGTGTCCAGGTTTCAATGGAAAATCATTCATCCTATCAAGAATTAGAAAGATTTAAAACCATGCAAAAAGATAATCAAGATGCCAAAACTGAGATGACAGAGATGTTGGATTTGACAAAGATTTTAAACTAGCCATGATAAAAATTCTTGAATATATAATTACAAATATGTTTGGACAAATGAAAATAAAATAGAAAGTCTCAGCAAAGAAAGGCTCACTGGATGGGCTCAACAGCAGAATGGTAGGGATATAGTACACAATCCGAACAACAGAGATAAAATATATGGGGAAAAAATAAGAAGAGAGCCTGACAGACCTGTGGAACTACCATAAAAGATCTAACATTTGTATCACTGGAACCCAAAAAGAGAGGTGAAAGAGTGGAGCTGAAAAAGTACTCAAAGAAATAATGGCTGAAAATTTACCAAATTTGGAAAGAAAAACGAAATCACAGATTCAAGAAGCTGAACAAACTTCACACAGGATATACCTGAAGAAATCCATGCCAAGAAACATCATAAACTTCTGGAAACCAAAGGCAAAGAAAATATCTTGAAAGCAGCCAGAAAGAAGCTATACTACCTATGGGAGGAAAGCAATTAGAATGACAGTGGATTTCTCACCAAAAACTACAGAAGCCAGAAGAAAGCAGTGTTATTTTTTTTCAGGTACTTTAAGAAAAGAACTGTCGACCCAGAATTCTATTGCCAGCAAAAATGGAAGGGGAAATCAAGACATTCTCAGATGAGGGAAAATTCGGAGAATTTGTCACCAGCAGATCTACTCTAACATGATGACTAGAGAAAATTCTCTATGTAGAAATGATAAAAGAAAAGAACACTGGAATATCAGAAAAGAAGAAAAAACACGGTAAATAAAAATAAGGGTAAATGCAATAAGCTTTCCTTTTCTTGAACTTTCTACATTGTCTGAAAGTCAAAGCAAAAATTATAAAACACTATCTGATGTGGTTCCAAATGTATGTAAAGGAAATATTTAAGACAATTATATATATTTCACTCCTGGGCATTTATCCCATAGAAATGAAGACTTACGTTCACACAAAACCTGTACACAAATGTTTATAGCAGCTTTTTTCATATTATGTGGACTAGTACTCGGCATTATAAAGGAATAAACCACTTGTACATGAAACAACATAGATGAATCTCTAAAGAATTATGCTGAGTAAAAAAAGCTAATAACCTCAAAAGGTTACACAGATGATTCCATTTATATAACATTCTATTGACAAAATTATAGAAATGAAAGGGATTAGTGGTTGTCAGAAGTTAAGGAGGGGGCAGGAGTAGGAGGGAAGTAGGCGTGGCTGCAAAGGGCAATAGGAAGAACTCCTGTGGTGATGGAAATGTTCTGTATCTTTATCAATATCAATATCCCAGTGTGATATTTTACTATGGTTTTGCAAGATATTACCATTGGGGGAAACTGGGTAAAGGGTACATAGAATCTCTCTATATATTGGGTTGTTGGAAAGTCATAACGTATTTTTTCTATGTTTTTCACGCAAAAATGCGTCATGACTTTTCCGACAGCCCAATATTATTTCTTCCAATTGCATGTGAATCTATAATTATGTCCAAATAAAAAGTTTAATTAAAAATATAAATTTGACACAAGTATGAAAAAAAAAAAAGGCTGATACTTCTGGTAAGTCAGAAAAATCACTACAATAAACAATCCCCATAATATTTTCATGTCTATTTCATTTAGCAGTTTAATGGGACCAGGTATTTCCTGTATCTATTTCTCTCCCTGGTGTTCCTGTTAGGCTTGTTACAAAAGTTTCACAACAACTCTTACACTAACCCATAAAAAGTCTATAATTCCACCAATAGATTTCATAGGAAACCCATGAATGAAAAATGCTTATTTGTTTTTTTCTATAGAACAGTGAAATACAGCCTGTATAGCACCACTTTTGAAGAGAAGGCAACACAGACTATTTGTAACCCAATGAATAAGAACAAGTAAAAGGAGAAGGCTTAGCCAGTTTGACCCTCTTTTTTTAGCCCTTATAACTGACATACACATTTAGACTAGCAATTCAGACAAACATACTAACTTGCATTGTTGGTAAATTTAAAAATGCTTTCTAAATTAATTTATTTTAAAGAAATAAATTTTAAGAATAAAGAAATTAAAAAATTTTTTTTTAATTTTAAAATAAATGTTTTAAGAAAAATTCCATTCAAATACACTATAAAATCCTCTTATCTCCCCCACATGAATTTTAGTAAGAATTAAACTTAAATTTTAAATTAAATTGTAATAACATTTATCTTGATTTGGATTCCTATTTAGAGCTACTTTCTACTTTTAGGAAGTGATGGTTTTCCATTTATAGTGGCAAATAATTTCCTTTAAAAAGAAGCTTATTTATTTAAAGAAGTAACTCTTTACTTCTTTTTAAATTTTAAAATAAATTTTAAAATTTTAAAATAAATGTTTTAAGAAAAATTCCATTCAAATACACTATAAAATCCTCTTATCTCCCCCACATGAATTTTAGTAAGAATTAAACTTAAATTTTAAATTAAATTGTAATAACATTTATCTTGATTTGGATTCCTATTTAGAGCTACTTTCTACTTTCAGGAAGTGATGGTTTTCCATTTATAGTGGCAAATAATTTCCTTTAAAAAGAAGCTTATTTATTTAAAGAAGTAACTCAATTTAAATATTAAATAGTACTAATAAGTGCACAGATATGCCAAAAATCTGAAAGTGATATGTGAATGCCTATAGTTGGTTGACACTAGTATATCGCATGGCTAGCAGGTAGTAGCCCATGTTCTAGTTCTAGCTCTCTTTGAACAAAGCCATCTGTTGCCTCATCTCTAAAAATGAAGGGACTAAAGTAGAAGAGAATTTTGGAGCTGGAAATAGACCACCTGGTCCTAAAATAAGAATTTACAAGTAATGTGCACATAGCACTACAGATTTAGTCCTACTGCCTCTATAGCAAAAGAAACAATTTTTACGTTATACAAGGAATCAGAGTAGGGCTGGCATATACCCACCAGTCATTACTTTCTAGAGCCCTTCGCCAAATTAGCCAAGAAAAACAATATTATTTCCAATCATACTTATTCTTACTCTGCTTAGGACCCTTTAAAAGACCTGACCTTGGGATATTTTATCAGTGATATCAAAGTTTCAACCACAAGAACACACTCAAACTTGGATTCTATTTGTTTATCTAATAATCTAAAACCTACAGTAAAACACTTGACTAGTATTGGTTATTTATATATTAAATGACCCAATTTAAACAGTTTTATTAAACTTAAAATGGCATGTAATCAATTTGTATATAACTGGCATTCTTAAACTACGAATAAAATGTGCCATGATAGGTAGTTCTCTTTGAACCTTTCGTTGCAGGTCTAATACACGTTGACAGGTGACTGTTGTAAAGAAGTTGTTAGAATCTTTGTATGTTCGAAGCAAGATTCATGCTCTTCACAATGGTTTAGAATCTTTAACAAAAGATTAGTAGCTGGAGTGCTCTAGCACTCACTCTATATAGTCTCTATATTTAAAAAGCTGGGTAAGATATAGAATTCTTCAAAATCAACTCCTGCAATTATGCACTTGAGGACTTGTAATGGGCTACTAATACCTCAATGATTGGCCCCATCTGTTGGTATTCAATTACATTAGTTGGTCAGACCACCATGTATTTAATCCTATCCCAATGTGATCTAGCACAAAGAACATGAAATAGTGCCATTAAATCTACCTGAAACGGGGGGAAAAATGTTAGGGAAAATCTCCCTAAGATAATAAGGCTGTTTTCTATATAATATTTATTACTTTCAAGCTCTACTTGATCCTTGAAAATTAAGCTTGTTGCTCTATCAGCAGAAACCTTCCCAAGTTAAAATGTTTTTAAGGAAGTATATTCTGGAATAGTGTTATTTTCTGTGTGTGGCGGGAAAACATAAAAAGTTAGCCATAAAAAAACAAACTCATTTGAATTAGT